TTGATAAAAATATAGTGTAGTCCGACTAGACAGAATCCTGGAGAGTCAAGAAAACAAGAAATTATACCTGGTGTTTTCTGAAAATCTCAAATCTGAACTGTATCTGTCCCAGTGACTTCTGGTGTACACAGCTTTCATTATATGTTTCCTGTTGGGAGGAGTGAACCCTGAAGATATTACTTAAATCACCATAAACACGTTTTGCATTTAACCATGTCCAGAGTTTTATTATTCACAAGCATAATACTAATAAATCCTCGGTTTGACGCGGAAGTTTTCTTTTGTCTCATGTTGTGCCTGGATGCTGAATATATTAGGTATGTATACAAGAGGTTAGACCCAGATAAACATGTGTACCCCTTTGTCAAACTCTGAGTTGGATACCATAATATGATGTACTACTCCTAAGAGTAGCAAATTCTGCACACGAGAAGGCAGGCCACTTATGCCAGCAGAGTTACTTAAACTGTGATTTTCCATATCAGATTTGTTAAATAAATGATAAAGCCACTTGTTGATAAAGACTTGTCGAGGAGGACCATTAAAAAGAGGAAATATTTGCCATAAAATGTATTTTCAATTATTTACTTGCATAGACTAGCTAAACTTACATAGAAAAAGGGACACTCTGATTGTTTAAACAGGAAGAAGCTATAGCCTTGTGGATTATGAGATATATTTGACCGATACCAAGATGATGTAGCCTATTTGTTCGTTTTGATGATGCACGGTTCCATATATTTCGGGAGGATATGGCATACATGTTCTAAATATGGTCTAATGCTGTGACACTGAAATATATGTTCATAATTATTCTGCGGCTAGAGGATAACAAGACTATGCTATTGATAGAAGATTGTCTATTACAGGTTTTGGAGGATTGACGGATAGCTACAAAGCAAACGATCACGATAACAGTGTTTTTATGAGGTCGAAATCAAGAGACATTCACCCAACAGATCATACGGACACAATGACATTCCAGGAGTTTCAATGGCAACCCAGACCCAGGTTTGGTGTGTATACAAATATCTGATTCCAATACTTTTATCTTTTCTTTATGCTACCCCTATGTCATTAAACCTGTGATTGCATAAGAGTGATCTCCCTTGAAAGTATTAATATTTGAATTTCTGTATATTGTACTCGTGTACGTGTATTGAAATCTTGGATGTCACAGTAGATAACAGTCCGAAGATTGGTTTTATAGGGTTTAACATCCTATCAAAAACTAAGGTCATTTTAGGACGTGTCTTTTGGTAGAAATATATATTATTGGCTTATGTCATTTTTATCATTTAAGGAACTTGATTATTTGACCCAATAAAGAAGTCCTTATGTGTGAATATAGAAAAATTGGTACACATTGTAGGTTAACGATTGTAATATAGTATGGAAAACTCCATAACATCGTCTTGACATCATATCTGAGCTGACAGCTAACAATCATTAAGTTATTTATTTTTTTGCCAACCAATTGATAGCCAACAAAATCAAAAACATCTCCGAAAAGGTTCAATGATGAAGAATGTTATTTTTGCTATTTTGGCAGTTGTGGATAGGACCCCATCATCCTTACCCCAGAGAGGCTTTGTTGATCCTGCAATTGCTACAAAACACCAGGTGAGAGTTGAGGCGACCAGAAATCTTTTCCTCTATTCTTCCTTAAAAATACATCTTTTTCAGTAAATTTCCTGAAATCAATCATGCTTTTGAAAAGAAACTTTGCATCATGACAAGAGAATTATCTAAATTTGTAATATGTTACGTTCTGTCGAACACTTTTCAAGATGTAACAAATTATTCAAAGAAAATTATTAGGGTATTGTTTCACCTTTCTCTTACCAAAATCTTCCAGTAAAAAAGTTCTAAAAAATTGTTTCCGAGATCAATTTGCCATATTTTGAAATCTGCTTAATAAAAAATCATGATAATATGGTGAGAGAGAAATTCTGACAAAACAACAATTATCTGCATCTAAATCAAAATTACTGACAAATACAGTTTCTATGAAATTTGTATTACTAAAGGTAATATTCGTCAGACTTAAAAAAATTAGGTGGAAATAAACAGAATTTCATTGCAATTATTAATCATGGGAAGTTGTTGATATAAATGCTGCTTGTCCACATTCTTTCAGTGTTGTGTGGCTTTCTTTGTGAAATGAAAAAGAAAATTGATTTGGGTTAAAACATGTTCTTTCTGACTTTGAAAAGGAAAAAAAATTGACATTAACAACAAAAATATGTAACTATTTTATTACAGATGGTTGAGCTGGTGCTAGGTTCCAAAGTGTATGTGTATCAGAGTGACATAGACATGGCTATGAAACACGGTGTGGACCGTAGAATGTCTTCACAACAAGGCAGCACAGTCAGGGATGGTACTAAGATGGCGCGGTACGTGATGAGTCTATTCTGGTCGGAGAGGGAATTGATTGGACGCACCATCACACCCACACCGAGGAACAAAGAGCTTGTGCCACTAGACATTAACCTCCTGTCTACCATCCTAGGTTAGAAAAACTGATATAAAGTCATACTGCAGGGACTAATATTTCCGAACAGAATTTACAGATTATGGACTTTACTTTATACCCTCATCAGGAATAGTTCGTATTATGATATGGCCTCACATTGTCCCTATAGCATTTGTTTCCCTGCAGTAACTTTACAAATATCATCTATGATCAGATTTCATTGAAACTTGGGTAGCTGATACAATCTGGGCAGACTAATTGAATTCTCAAACACAATATAATTTACATATCAATTTAGTATACTGCAAACTGATTTGTCAGTATATTCTGTATCAATGTCTGTAAATATGATTGAAAGTAGAAAAAGTGGAAAGTTTGATTAATTTAAGAATAGAAATTAAAGATTAATTTTCGAGTATAATATATTAATATATTATTGGTCAGGGTATTACTGGAGATAACGTGACTATAATTTGGATTTCAATGAAACTTCATCTTAACATGACTTCAGAAGGTTGTTGTACTCGCGATCGGTAAAAGGTATACATGGTACCTGTTCACATCAATCTATCAAAATTCCTGGTCATTCAAGGTCATTGGCTGACAGTTTCTGCTACTCAACTTAACTGTTTGTAATATAATCTTTCACTTAGACTCAAGATTTCATACTTGGTTGGAGGTAGACATCTATTCTTTACTGTATTTAACAGGTCAAGATAATTAAAATTTGGATCCTTTAATTTGATTGGTTGATTGTTAATGCTCCACAACTTATCTGTTTCTGATGACATAACTTCATGAGGTCACAGTAATTAATAGGCAGCAATCACCCATTCATTTTCAGGTCATTCTATCAAATTAGTTTAATCAATTTAACCGGTTGGACCACAGTTGTTGGTTTATTAAATAAGGTCGTACCTAGTTATCTGCTGCTGCTTTCAGACGAGCCTTGACAAAGCCTTGCAAGGCCTGCATAAACATTTGCAAATTTGCCAGGATTAATACCCGAAATTGTTACATTTATAAACGGACAAACCCGCTGTTCCGCATAAACAAAGAGGTTCCAGGAATTTGATTTTGTGAAAGATTCTACTCTGATTATCACCTATTTCTTAGCTTATCTTCACCAAACTTCATTTGGGTGATTTCCTAAACGGATTATTCATATCACAGGTGCTGGACACACAATATGATGTGTATGTACTATATAATAATATATAGTATATACACATCATATTAGTGTGTCCAGCACCTGTGATTCATATTACTTTTGTACTATATCCCTAATGAATTCATGTATGAATTTGACATGGAAAATGAATGTCATAGGATTCAAAAAAAAGGAATAAAAAAAAAGCCTGGAAAATTTCAGTAAAAGCATGAAAAGAGACACAGTGGCTGTTGATAAAACAGCAGTCAATTAATGTATATTATAATTTATTGACAATGCTTACTGTTTCCCTTTTTTATAGATTTTTGTGTCAGTGTTAGCTGCAACACTAGAGCCCAAGTAAAAGAAGCTCTCAGGAACAAAGTGACGGCTGCAAACACCCGGGCGAAATTCAAACGCTCCAATCTCCTAACTCAACAACGCAGCCCTAACGACCAGCAAGTCTTTGTCAGTCAGCAACAAGATCTTATTCCTGATCAGGACATGAATGTATGACATCATCACTTTACGTGTACAATTTTATTTCAAATAAAAGTAAAAGTGCATGCATTTGATAGTGATTTGAGTGGATATTTTTTCTTTTGTTCTTTTCTTTTTGTTAATCATTTGTAAATTAAGACAAAGATAGAAGGTTTTACGGATTACTTTGATTGAATATTCTGAATAATTTCATCTGTTTTAGTAATATTTGCATATAATGTAGCTTTGAAATTTACATAAAAGTAGAATTATTTTGATGGTATTAATTTTGTCACCAATATCATTGTTGATAATGCTGGTTTGATTAGCTTGCTTTTTGAAGACATTTTGTCAGTAGCAATAATTTTGATGATGCTATTAGAATTTTTCCTATGAGATGGAAGAGATGTTGACGGAACAAACATACATGATGTTCACTTGTGATAGCCATAGATGTTGTGCTTTTCATATGTCATTGTAATGCATGTTGTTATCTGTGATTTATATTGGGTAGTTTAAAATGTGATGGATGTCCTTGAATTCTGTTAGAAGATTTTCATCACTTACTGTGATTAACTTTCAACTTCCTTCAAAATTCATATTATGTATTAGATATTAGGTAATATATAGTAAGATGCTTTAATTACCAGTAATCATTCATTAATTAATATTTTCATTTGTTTAATTTTTCAAAATAAAATGAAAAAATATTCCCGTAAGATTTTGCTATATTACTGAAAATATGGGTATCATAATTTTCTTAACTCAGTATTTCAATTGAAGGACAAGATAAGGGTAACATATAAAGGGTAAAATGTTTTTGATCGAAAAGTTGGTTACTTTGGTGTTTGTGACAAGTTATTGAGTGGAAATCTAATTTATATATTACAGGTGATGCAACTTTCAAATCCATGATGAAAATAAAGACAGAGGTCATTGATCCAGAAGACCTGTACAGCATGTCTACAGACAGAAATTTGACTGATGAGTCTGATTATAACTACAGCATGCTACTTGGTCATCCCAGTGACCCCCATACTCTGTCCACCCCTGGACCCTATATGGGCATGTATACCATGAAGCAACTACCTAACACCAGAAATGTGTCTCGAACTGTGACGGAGCCAGAACATGGGATGGATGATAATCAGAGCTGGAGTGCCAACAAAGAGATTAAAACGAGTGTTTCTGGTACAGGAAAACAGAAATCAAAGCCTAAATACCGAGTGCGAGACTATGTGTGTAAGTACTGTGGTAAGATTTATCACCATACCACCCGATTGAAAAACCATGTTAAACAATACCATTCGAAACAGATGAAGAATGAAACTCTCGGTAGTGCTGCACAGGAATCAAACGCTGACTCGACCCAGACACAAACTGGGGAAACAGAAGGTGGAGGAATAACCTGCGGTCGGTCACATAACAGCAAATGTCAGCATTGTAATAAAACCCATCGGAATCTGGATAAAAACCTTGCTCAGCACGACATGGAGGTCAAATGTTATCAGGAATTAATGTCTAGTGGAAGCCAACAGAAAACTGATCTTCGACTGACTGAGGTTCTGACAGAAGAAAACAATTATTATCTGACAAACGAGGATTTGGAAGATGTGGAGCAAAGTGGGAGCATTAAAGCAACGAAAATTCCACCAATAAACCAAGCAAGATCGGGACGGAGAACAAGGAGCAGCACTAAGCTGATGCAGGAGGCTCCGAATGCTCAGACGCAGGAATCGACTAAGCCTAGGGATCAGCTGCTAGATAATGATATTCAACAAGATCACATTAGACTAGAAGTTCTGAGTTACCAGAAAGACGAGGAAATGTGTCGCCGCCAGGTGATGTTATCTGGTATGTTGCTTGGTGACCGCCACTCCCCAACAGACCAGCTTGATGATGCAACATTGAAAAAGAAAACCTTAAAGTCAGGGAATGAAAATCAAGTTTCACCCTCAGCACCTGACACATCAGGAAATGCGACAGACGGGGCCAATATACAGTTTTGGTGTAAATGTGGCAAGTCTTTTACATCTCTATCTACTTTTGTGGTACATAAGTTTCCATGTGAAGCTGCTGCTAACTCGGACAAAATGTAACTGCCAAGGTGACTTGTATATCTTGAGAGTACATCCTCTAGCTTTGTCAATCAAATACATTAGTGCATTGTTCCTCCAAGTGTCATGGACAATCAGGTTATCTGTAGTTCCCAGTATACAGTATTGGGTTTTCAGTTTAACTTTCCACACACCACTGAAGTTGATCTACAAACTAACAACATACAAATTCAACAAGGATAAATAATCATGACTTTAAGTTATATATCGTAAACAGACAGAAATGTTAGGGAATTCAAAAGCAATCCATGTAACCTCTGTAAAAGTTTAGTCATCATCAGTCGGTTGATCAAAAATTGAATTCAAGATAAAGATGATATTCAATATATCTTAAATAAAACTATATACCAGTATGAACCTTGTCAGAATACCAAAAACAACTTATATAAGATACATGTACTTTTATATACATGTATTCAAATTAAAAAATATCCATAAATGTTCTGTAGACAAAAAATGACTTCTAGATAAACAAGGTACCGGGTACTCACTATTTATCTAAATTATGGACATATGTATGTATCTGAAAATTCATAATCTGTTAGAAATGCAAAACACTACTTCCAGATAGGATATTTCAGATTTCTGAGTTTGTTGGACAAATGTTGGATTCAACATGATTCCTGAACTGCATAAAATAGAGGATACTCATTCAGGTGAGTTGATTTTCAAGTATACCCAACAAATTTCACAAGGTTACGTCATACTTTTGATATTATCTGAAGTATGAACTACCAACATGAACTAATGAAACCTGTAGCGGTTTCACTATGAACTGTGGCTGTTTTGTTTCTGCCAGTTTTCATTGTAATGGTTCCATTGTTATCATTGTGAACGGTAAAAAGGCTTTCGTAAGTAGTGCTTCAAATTGGATACTTTTCAAGTTTGTCATTTTAAATGATGGTCTTTCCTTGTTCAGATTCCTTTCAGTTACGTTTGCTTATTTTGTAAATAGGAAAGTGTTCCAATTTTATGATTGTAAATTGATACTGATTAAAATTATATTTTATATGAATGAACTTGTTCTTCTGTTTTTCTGTTGAGAATTTCATCATATTGGTTTGTTAAATTAGGTAGACTGGTATGTGTACCTGTTTGCTGCAGAAATAAAATATACAATTGATAATATGGGATTAATCCATATGAGATAAGAAAAATACCTTTTGCTTGCTTCATTTGCAAGCTCTTTGCTGAAAACAATGTGTATTATAATTTGAAGCAACCAAACTGTTAAGTTTGTAATATCTACCCAGTACTTGTATGAGCTTGCTGCCTATATGACTTCCTATTGAGGTTATTATGTCAGTGACATGTAGATGGGGATTTTCGTTCCCAACTGTCATCTGATCTGTGCAGCATTGTGTATTGTTGAGATCATGGTACATTTATGACATATCAGCATTGATTCTTTTGTAATGCATTCTTGAAATTGATCCTGTAGTTATTTTATGTAAAATCTGTATTGCAAGATTTCAAATATGTTTCCAGTGATTTTTGCTTGAAAGTGTTATCAAGTGTTTGAAAGCATTATGTATAAGGACATATATGTGATATCCTTATAAGCCATTCGGTCTTGTGTATATACTGGTACATGCTACTGCACTGTCGCCACTATACTCACATCACCTTCATATTTGATCTGATGTTGTTCTGAAGGTGCTTTCATTTAGTATAGTATTACTAACTAAGCATGTAAAGAAAGAAGAAAAATTAGATTGAAGTTTGAAATATATTTATTGTTGATCAATAGAGAAAAAATGTAACATATGACTGTAACATATGACTATTCTGTGAAGTGGGTTTATGTGATTTTTTACAGCAGTATTAATCAATGATATCAGTTGCTCACTTCTTTGAATATTTTTATGTTGATTTACATCCAATTTTCCTTTATTAGAGATAAAAATAATACATTGGTAATTAAAACTTTTACACTCTTAAATATTTGGTCATGTGATACAGAAGATTTGAGCTGATCACATGATACAAGGATGTAGTCACATGATACACTGGATTAAGCTGACATGATACTCAGGATATAGGTCACAGGATTAAGGATGCCTTTCTATGAGAGGAAGGGTTAATATGTGCAGTGGCTGTGTTGTGTATTTGTGACGGAGACGACCCCCAAGCTGATGTTGTGTATTAACTACTTACAGACTCTGGTGCCCTCCCTGCTTCCCTGCTCCGAGATCTCGCCCTTAAGTCTGCTGTTAGGAAACCTGCACCTCCATTTAAAACACTGCAACCAACACAAGTACAGCGTGGTCGTCCAGTACAGTTCCCATGGATTCCAAAAGCAGACACAAAAAAGAAATACAAGTGTGAAGTGTGTGGTAAACAGTTTGCACAACAACAGCACTACCTCGGACACACCAACGTCCATTTTGGACGTCGACCATTCAAGTGTAAAATCTGCTCTGTTGGATTTCCGTATCAGTCACAACTGGCTGCCCACAGGAAGTCATGCAAGGAACAGGGTGAAAGTACATCAGCACCAAATACAAGCACCTGTCAAATTTGTTCCAAATCCTTTAATGAGCATTTCAAACTGGTCCGCCACATGGTTCAAGCCCACCACAGCCAAAGCCTTATGTCTTTTAAAGAGTTTGTCTGTGCCTGTGGAGCAAAGTTTGACTGGCATGCGGCCTACAAATCTCACTGCAGTTCATGTCCGAAAAGTTCTCCTTCGGACAAGTCTTAAGGTAATGTTATGATAGGTTAATAGCGAAACACTGAGTAGGTTAACACCGAATGGAAAACTGAGTGAAAAAGCTGTTATTTTGTGAGAGTTATTTCCCTTTAAAACTATATCGATTAACATTATTTCTCATAAAGATGTCATATATCTATCTCTGAAATGGAGAGCCAGTTTAGGTTAAGTAATATTTTAATTCTTACTTTTCTTATCATTGAGATACAGTTTAAGGTAAGGACAAAATCAGATAAATGGAAGTAATTGTCCCTAAAAATCAAATTCATTTCTAAAATATATGATTTCCCAGGTACAATGGTGTGGACAGGTTTATCGAGAATAATTAATGATATTTGAAACGTTGAAGAATGTTGCAAAAGAACTTCAGCTTATTAATGCGTGATTACTGTTTGAGAATGAAAACGTAACTTACATATATCCTACTCTTAATTTGGTATAAAGCATACCTGATAACAGGTGCACTTGATTACAGTGAATTCGGAATATTGCATGTACTGTTTTAGCAGACATGGTGTGCTGTTTTGTATAAATTGTGTACTCAATGACCGTGGGAGTGATAAGATTGTAAGAGTACATTACATACATTAGTTTTCGACAGTGCTGTTCTACAAAATACTGCACATAATCCAAAATAAGCTATTAGATACCATGTGTTGTATATAGAAGAGATGACATTCTCTTCATCGAATCTTTGGAGACAGGTTTTGTCATACAACTTAGGAACATGTTGGGGGTGTCAAAAAAGTCACAATATATCGCAATACAGAAGGAATGTATTGTGATAGGTATGCTGATATTCTGTCATAAGAAATATGTGCTCATTTTAAAAAGATTTTTTCAAACTGAATCATATATCTGTTATTTTTGTTAAATTAACCATCGACCATCAAATTCCCACCATTAGTAATAGCCTGTTTATGGTTATTGGCATATCTCTGAGAATGTGTAGTAATCTGCAGAGCTAAAACACCTGACAGATACATACAAATAAGCTTTTAAAAATATTACAGTACAGTCATATTTCATTTGTGTATTGCGATATGATATGATATGATATACATTTTACCAGTGTATTGCAACATACCAATTTTCCAATATATTGTGACAGCCCTAGTTCATATCTATGCAGTATTTGTAACTATTGGTGTGTAAGAGAACATTTGTTCTAGAAACCAAGATATTCAGATATTTGTTGTAGACTGGCATAGGAGTGAACTACATGCTTTCTTTCTTTTACAGTGGGACGATCTACTTGTATAGGGGCAAGACCCAGAAACAACACCGCAAGTGGATATGCAACAGGAGCAGGAATTGGAGGATGGGACAACTTGCCACACAATTTGTTGGATAATAAATATACCTGGAAGGATTATTCTCAAGCAGAGTCAACCACTACACAGACATTTGGGCCCAATTTACAGGGAAATGCTGTATCACTACTGACAGGCGACACAACTACAGCACAGCCTGTACCATCAGGAAAGGAGCTTTCTACAGCGCCACAAGTAAACAGTTTTACAACTGCACCATGTACACGAAATGTTTTACCAAAAGGAACACGAAAAGGAACTGTATCCTCAAAATTCCTACGTTCAGGAAACATTTCAGCAAATACCAAGGCACTTCATGCAGGAAATGTTTATGCTAAGTCATGCTCGATGACCAAATCTCTGCATAGTAGAGGTATTTTTCCAAAAAGCAGTTTTGGAGAAACTCAAACGGAGAGAGATTCTTATAAATGTAGATTTTGTGCAAAAACGTTCAATTCTTTTAAAGCCATGCATCGACATTTACGAGTGCACGACCAGCATCGTTGTAAACAATGTAACCAGGGCTTTAAAAGTGACCTACTTTTACAGAAACATAACACTGACCACCACACTTTCAAGTTCCCTTGTTCTTCCTGTGGCAAACTCTTCGGACGCAAGTTCACACTCAAACGGCATGAAATGTACATCTGTAAAGTGTCAGCAAGGTGATAGTGTGGCAAATATTCCACCATTTGATTCCATTTCTTTTCAGTAACAAACACTTAAGGATGCAAGATTGTTGGTGCAAATGGCATAAATTGAGGCCATAAGGCATGCTGACAAAATCAGCTCTCTGGTTTTCTTACGCATCATTTGGTTTCTTGGATTTGGTGTGTTTTAATAACTCTTGAAGTTCAAGCTGAAAAGAACTCGCAGGCAGAGAAAAATAGACGAAATTATTATTTGTTTGCAGTTTAACCTTTTGAGTATGTCCTCGGTATTATAATAAGTATGCTTCTAATAAGATGTTCAGTTGTAATTCAAAATTTTACATGCTGACATGTGATATTGATTTTAAAACTTTGCAACATGACAGCATTGATAATAATACATGCGAGACTTGGAACCCTTTTTTTCTGTTAATTCCCAATATTTTCTTTCTTGCTATACCAGTGTTGGTGTGTGGCCATATTGTATAGGTTTGTCAAGAATTACCTAATCACCTTTCACAGGAAATATTGTTTTGATTTTTAGACATGCAGTGTATGGCTGTGTGCTGTTATGATACAGGTGTGCAGTGAAACATCTGTATAACAAACCCTAAGATGTTTAACTGTTCTAGACCATGTTATAAGGCTGTGCATGCCCCCTTCAGTTATAGCTAGCTATAACTTACCTCGGCTACTATTGAGAGATAATATATCTATGATGAAACTAGTCTACTATTAATGTATGTATGTGATAGGTATTAATTATTCGTATACACATAACGGTCTTTTTGACGTGATAGGCATTATATAAGATGTACTACACCTTTAAAACCTTGAATTGCTCCCTTGATTGTGGTGTGACATTGGATAGAAACCATTGATTAGTTTTACAATGCCTCATGACACTTGATGTTTACCTACATGTTGTACTGTCATATAAATGTACCATGATTCTCACAACATAAATGTCTTGAAAAAGAGGTTTGCTTGTTGATTATCTGTTGTTGTTTGGCAAGTCGTCTTTACCTCAGCATATGAATTTTCATGAAATATCCAAGTTGTCCTGACTTCCAAACAGACAAGAAAATATCACTTAACTCTTTCACCCCTATGTAACTTGAGTAGACTCTACCATGCATTGATATGGATGAGTACATTATGGTCTACAATGGTGAAAGGGTTACTGAATGGTTGTCGGGCTGCCTGGTCTAGCTCATTTCCTTTACCATTATTAGTCTAAAAGATGAGCAGAATCCTTTTCCAAATCATGCAGAAATGATAAACTCTAGTATATGAAGTTGATTATAATTTAGTTATAAATATTGAGGCATATATATGCAACCTGTGTACCTCAGTGGGTCTTCCAGACCAAAGTTGAATGAACTGCAATCCAGTCAAATTACATTAGTCTCAAAACCCACTGAAATATTTCCCTCAGACAAGATTTAAGGTATTTAGTACAAGGTATTTATATAGTATATATGATTTCAGACACAAACAATTTTGAACTTTAATGACTTCAATATGCTGGAAGTTGCAATGACATTAAAAATTAAAAAAAACATCTCAGCGAATCGGATGATACCTGGAAATTTGACATATTCTGATATAGTACTGGTCCAATCGGAACACATTCATATACCAACTTAAAATATTTACAGATGAACTATTGTGATACAAAGTTTATGGGGATTTTTCTTTTTCTTTCAAAAGTTTGAAACCTAGATGAAGGCATCTTCAGTGTACAATAAAATGAATGCAAGTGTCATATGTAGGGCCCTTTGCATGATTCGATAAGGAATTATTGAAAATAGTTGGATCCTTAGGAAACTCCATGCTTCAAAAGGATATGAGGCTATCAGAAACAAAAACCTTGATCGTATTATGATTGTCATTTTATACATGTATATTAGTATGTATCTATGTAATTGAGTGACAATAAATTAGCTGGAATATTGAGACAGTTACCTATATAAACAGGATAATATTGGGTTGATAACGTAACAATCTGTTTAATGGATTAACTAGTCTTCATTATACCCCATGGTTGTATCAGTACATATTGAGAAGGGCTAGTGGCTAACCAAATATAAAATTATTAAATTTAAATAATACTATCACCTGTTCACATTCCTGGTACATGAAAAGGACTAGAACCTGGTCATCCATTGGTTCAGATACATCACCAGTGGATGTTTCTTTTCCATCCACAATACGTAGTCTCATGCATTATTCTGCAAGGACGAAGCTGCTTGATGAATTTGTAGCAGTCCTTAGTGATGCTGATATAGAAGACCTCAGAAATGTAAAAGAAGACTACATTGTAGTGTATTGAAAAAGAAATTATTGCAAGAGTAATTTCATGTTGAAACCAAATATAGGATTTGAGAACTTGATGTCATAACTCGTTTACTTTCTAATTTGGCTGACATTATGTCCAACCATTCGTGAGTTTCATGCCAATTAAACAGTCT